GAACACACAATCCTTAACGCTAAATCATTATTCAACTCCATGTAAATTTCTATTTCACGGCGCCCCTCCCAGTGCAAGGAAATTTTAAATCTATTCCTATCTATACGTAAGCCATTTAAGAAGACTACATCACGAAAAGCAGTTAAAACGGGAAAAGAAAAATGGAACAGCACTATTGTTTTACTTACGTGGTATGATGTTNCTGGCTCTGGAAGCCTAAAAATTCAAGCACTAGATCAGTATAATACTTAGTTTACCTTGCCGTTCATTATAAATTAGATATTAAAAAATCTAACTACTCTAGTTTGGAGTAAAGTCTGTGTACAGGGTGGGAATTTAATAAATCGCTGCGTGACTCTTTCGCTTACAGAATATATCATTTTTGGTATAACTTGTATCATTATACTGCTTTCTCTTAGAAATTGTCTGCTGACATTTCTATTTTTTATAGTCTTATTCGTGATTTTAACTTGATAATGACGTTAGGCAAACGCCGAAGCTCCATCTCTTATTTTATTTTTAAGATAGTTTTGAATTTCTGAGTTCTATTGAAATGTTTACAAGTGAAATTGATATTTAAATCTCTTCTTGTAAGTATTTAAATATACATTGTACTCACTTTAAAGCTACAGTTGACAATGTCTTCAACTTAATGCTCAATGAACGGTGCAAAAGTAATTAGCGAACACACAATCCTTAAAGCTAAATCATTATTCAGCTCCATGTAAATTTCTATTTCACGGCGCTCCTCCCAGTGCAAGATAACTTTAAATCTATTCCTATCTATACGTAAGCCATTTAAGAAGACTACATTACGAAAAGCAGTTAAAACGGGAAAAGAAAAATGGAACAGCACTATTGTTTTACTTACGTGGTATGATGTTTTGAAACAAAATTGTGACGAACTTGTCCCTGTCAGGACGTGATTGTTCGTGGTAGAATCCCAAAGCGTGTCCTGAGAAAAGAAGACGAAGAAGCCGAGTGGTTAGATGACATTATCTTTTAAATCTTAATAAGATTTGATCGATTAAAACAACGAGGAAAATAACAAAATAAACATGGTTACTTGTACGCAGATGATGACAGTATTCAACCTCATCCGGAAGGTCATGACTCATAAGAGCTCTTAGGTCTAAGAATTCTGTAACAAGGAGCAGTAATACTTACCAATTTCATGAACAACAATCCCCTTGGTCCAGCATCCAGGTGCAAGCCAGATATCTTGCTTACCTCCTCTNACGAAAAGCAGTTAAAACGGGAAAAGAAAAATGGAACAGCACTATTGTTTTACTTACGTGGTATGATGTTTTGAAACAAAATTGTGACGAACTTGTCCCTGTCAGGACGTGATTGTTCGTGGTAGAATCCCAAAGCGTGTCCTGAGAAAAGAACACGAGGAAGCCGAGTGGTTAGATGACATTATCCTTGAAATCTTAATGAGATTTGATCGATTAAAACAACGAGGAAAATAACAAACTAAACCTGGTTACTTGTACGAAGAGGATGAGAGTATTCAACCTCATCTGGAAGGTCACGGCACATAATAGCTCTTAGGTCTTAGAATTCTGTAACAAGGAGCAGTAATACTTACCAATTTCATGAACAACAATCCCCTTGGTCCAGCATCCAGGTGCAAGCCAGATATCTTGCTTACCTCCTCTTTTTCCTACCCATGATGCACACCTTATCCAAGTCGAAACACACAAATATGACCTCTAATTTTAATGTATATATTATAATTTCTTACATCCCAGTTCTAAACTTGTAAGTGAGATGGTAACAATTTAGCCCTTCTTAACTTAGTTTAAAACAGCCAATAAACGCGTCAACCGAAAAAAAAACCTATTTCTCTAAAACCAATCGGACTAGTTCGGACACTTTACTACTGTATTACATATAGTTACTGTAATTGGACCGAGTGCAGTACAATTTAGGGAGATAATTATCGATCGCGCGAGTAATTTCAAAATCGGACGGGTGCGCCGATTTTAAAATTGATGGAAAGTACGGGGCTTATCTCTGGACGTTTAAAACGAAACTTGAACGTTTGCCACGCATTTCACATTGAATAGCACTTGTCCACATTTCCGTGCGCTGTAAAATGGTAGAAGAGCATGATGATGAGTTTTGAGACGCGTAAAATTTGACTTACCCACCGCCTGATCTAAAGCTTACGTAGTCTCTCTGGTTTGTTCTTCTTTGGAGTCTGATGCAAGTTAACCTCTTGTACTCGTTAATGGCTTGGTTAATGGCCGACCTAGCTCGACTCTGTCCAGCTATAAAACACAAGAAAAGCAGTTAAACAGAACAGTAAATGCACTGCCGATCTTGAGCTGTATATATGGGTTATTGACCAAGGGTGGGGTCAAGACGGCGGGATATTGCCCAAGTTCTTGTTTAGCGAGTTTATGGACCGAGACGGAATCGAGGTCCATAAACTCCTAAACAAGAATGAGGCCAACAAGCCCCGCTCTGACCACTAAGCTGGACTTGTTTCTCAAGAGGAAGAAGAACATACTTTTATTTAGCTAGCGTAACTTACAGTTACAAAAACTGATATCCTTAGAGGCCCTAGATAAAAAGCTAAAAACTAAGCATGTCAAACAATAATAGAAATATAAAAATATGTTAAAAATACTTAAAACTAGTCCTAACTAAGCTAATAGAAAAATAACTTTAAAATAGCATATAAAAATTTACCACAAAATACGATTAATAAAAACTACAAATTACGATTAAAAACTACACATCTATGATAATCTCGGTAGACCCTCGTTGAACTCTTCGGTCATGCTTGTTAATAGCCAGCTGGTCTGACTCCCGCCAGTTGGGATTTTTAAGCCTGTTATGTTTAGTTGATATATTTGTTTCTTTCAGTTTAACTGGCATGCCTGTGAACTAACTGGGTGTAGCTAAGCGCATTGACCACTATAAACAACAACATTAGTTGAACATTTGCATCTAACCTGCTGTCAGCGACTTCAAAGACGTTATAGCTCGACAAGTGACAGCTTATATCGCTTTATTACGAGGGATGTCTCTTTGGTTCTTTACAGCTATTATTGATAGCAACTTACCTAGAGTTCCGTCAATTACGTAATACATTACACCCTTAGGCCAGAGTTTCCTTGTATTTCTAATTGCAGCTCTTTTAAGTCCGGACACGGCGCGGCGTTGTTCAGGGGTTAGCCTCATGTCTCCCTCGAACAGCTCTCGGTTATTACGATTCTCTTGAGTGAAAGATAAATCAATAAATTAATGCTAGGATTAAAAAAAATGAACGAACGACGTGACTGACCGACCAACCGATTGACAGACCGATCGACTGACCATGCTACTGACTGACTGACTGACTGACTTACTGACTAACTGACTAACTGACTGACTGACTGACTGACTGACTGACTTACTTACATAAAGGAAGAAATACAGCAAGCGCCTGAGGAAGGAAGGAATAAAGGAATGTCATCGATGAAAACAGGCCGAGTCATTGGCGAGGGGACAGCTTAAGTTGATTTTATCACAGGCCGCCGCGAGGATAAATGATTATTATTATTTTTTTTTTTTAATCCTTTTTTTTTTACTTTTATGCGAACGTTCAGCGAAACGTGACATATACGGCCGACATATACTATTACATAACGATCGAGTTTGAATACGCGAAACGTGACTCTCGTCTTGAAGCATATGGAGGTGTTGTGTTAAAACGGCCTTCGAATGTGTCTATGGCGGATCTTAGCAGCATCACTATTAAGTCCGGACAAACCGTTATAACACAGCAGCTCCATATGTTGCAAGGCGAGAGTCACGTTTCGCGTATTCAAACTCGGTGGTTATGTTACAGTACATGTTGGCCGTTAACGTTTATGTCACGTTTCCCTGAATGTTCGCATAAAAGTAAAAATAATAACTCCTTGCATCGTGAGCTTGAGCCGCCTGTGATTCCTTTTGTGAAATGAATTATTCCTTCTCTGACTCTGTTCCATTACGCGATCGATGCATGAACAAAATGGTACAGTCAATCCTTCTTTTTAACCATGCATTGCATACGATAGGTTTGAANGCTGAACGTTCGCATAAAAGAACAAAAAAGAATTTAAAAAATAATAACTCCTTGCATCGTGAGCTTGAGCCGCCTCTGATTCCTTTTGTGAAATGAAGTTATTCCTCGTCTGACTCTGCTCCATTGCGCGATCGATGCATGAACAAAATGGTACAGTCAATCCCTTTTTAACTATGCATTGCAAACGATTGGTTTGAAGCGTGTCAAAAAACAAGTCAAACGGTATCAGTGAAGTGTTAGGTCAACGGGCATTGCCCAGTAAAGGACGCTATGCTCGGTAGAATCGTTGTCGACTCTAAATCTACGAAATCCTTTCATGGAACATTAGCTTTAACATAATCACACCTATAAATAACAAATCCACTTCAAAATAACCGCCATACTATCGATCGGTGAGTTATTTTTTCCTGTGTTATTCCTTTAGAGAAACCATTGCGCTTCCCACTCGTTTTAGAGTCAACGGCTTCATGTATTTCAGATAGCCAGTATTCTACATTAGCTCAGTCGATATTCATTTTGCATCTTCTCGGCCAAGAGACTCTTCAGAAGCTTTTCAGATTTTAACTGCAAACTCTTTGAGAGATCCGTTCGCGAACTCAAGATGTTAGCGGTCTGGCCCTCTATCTTTGGATTGCATCTTATTCTTCGAATTGGGAGAGAAAAGACGAACGCGGTTGATGACTTTTTACGTCCAAACTGAACTGTTATGATTAGCGATTGTTCAGTTATGTTCTAGTCCAGTGACACAACTTTTACATAACCGGTTTACCTTAAAGCTTTTCCAATCAAGTCTTCAAAATTCATCATGTATTCAATTCAAAAATGCAATTTCAGGAAAATGTATCAGTTGATAGAAGTTAATTGAATGATATTAACATTACGTTAATATTACTGAATACTACTACCTCCAGTTAAAAGTTGCGAGAGGATAGCATACCTTCGGGACTCATGGCGAACGCCACTGCACACAGAACGAGAGCGCATAGCCACTTCATGATGCTTTCTAGCGGTGCCGAAGCAATGTGGTTAAAACGACAAAATGCTTGAGAATTTATTGACCACTGTTGTTAACTCACCTGCATGGCTTGAAAATGCTGTGTTTGAGTTGCTTGAATCTGTCTACACACGGTCAGGAAATTGGAATAGATTGGTAAAGTGATCTGAAAACCTTGTTCAAACGCACCTGCTGCAGCCGACAGGAGAGAGTCAACGAGCTTATTTCGCAGATTCGCGCCACGTTTATCTCAACAGGTGACGCAAAGGAAGAAGAGCGTGTGTTTTTTAGGCACGAAGTGCCAGATTTCGCGCAACGTGTGTTAGCTCAGTGAACACTATGAGAAGTGCCAAGCTTTGTAATGGAAATGAACATTGTCACGATGAGGCCACAGAAATTAGAATCAGAATTTGAAGACAACTGGATAGGTGCGGTACGAGAATATTACAACTGAAGTTAACTGTATGGCCAAAGCAGTATAACTGAACTACTCGGGCCACTGATACTGAAGATATCAGCTTATTTACAAAGGTTTTTCTTATACCTTTTACAGCATCCACCCCCTCCTGAAAGTCCTATCCTGACAGCTGCTTTGAATTTGCTTTTCTCGAGCGAGCGTTAAATACCGCAGCGTTTACGCAAAATGATTATTTTCGCTTGTTATGTAAAATAAAGCTTGCGATTCAAAGGAAATTCATGAATTCTATAGTAAATTTAGCTTGAAACCGATTTCGCTTTCTTGCTTTCTCGGGTATCTTTCTCTCTTGGGTTTCAGTGTTTCAAGTGAAAGGTAACAAATGTTTTCTATAAACGTTTATCCTGTATCAGACCACAAAAGGCAAGTGCCCATTTCAGATCAATACAGCTTATTAAAAAAGGAAGGCATAAGGACGGCACAACATCTATTAAGTTAAAATTCTAGACAAGCCTTTTTGTTACAAGCAATCTGGTGACGGTTCAGCTCTATGCAGCGGTGCTCGACTTTCTTCGTTTTATTTTTTTTAGTTCCACCATGTAACGATAGGTTTCGTGACCTTGCATAAATTATGCGTTAAGCCCAAATCCTAAGGCTAGGTTACGTTGCTCTTAGTCGTTCGTGTTGTGAACCTGTGTCATGTTGTGTTGAATTCAACTTGGAGAACTTTATCTGAATTGTGTTGTTGAGTCGTTTGAACTACGCCTACAACCAACCCAACTCAACAGAGGAAAATTAAAAGTTTCCTCGACCTTTCAAAGATACATGTACAACTGAGTTCTACTTTTCTGTTATAAAAGTAGTGTACCACATGCTGTCGAATGCGAAATTGAAACCATTCCTATGTTGCACTTAACATTCATACCATGAGAAGGGAGCTCTCTTAGGTCTCTCTGAAAGTTAAATCACCTGTTAAAATAAACGTGGCGGAAATCTGAAAAATCAGTTCGATGTTTGTCGCTTCTCGTCTGCAGCAGCTGCATTTGAACAAGATTTTCAGATCACTTGTCCACGCTTTTCCAATTTGCAGAACTTGTTTAGACAAGAATCAAACATGTTGATACACTTTGCATGTGTTGATACACTTTGCAGTTGGGTTAACAGCTGCATTCAATAACTGATCGAATATTTTACAGTTTTTATCACAGAGTTTCAGTCAGTTAAGGGGCATCATAAATGTAGTGACAGTACGATCTCGTTCACTGCGCATGCTCAAAACATAATACGCATGCTCAAAGGTGTGTTTTCATAGTTGTCGACATCTAAACCAATAATTTCCACACACGGGAAAAACTCGGCCGAAACATAGCTGTCGACAACTAAAAATGTAGCGTCTAGTTGTCGAAAACTCGTCTCCACACTACGTTTTTCAGTTGTCGATGACAAACAGTTTTCATAACTAAGCGACGGTCTAGTCTGTGGAGGCCCTTAGAGTCAGTTCACGGATCGTTACAAACAATCTTTATAAGTTCTCTTCCCTTTAACAAAATACTGATAAAAAGCAATTATTATCACCTAACTCAACAGAGGAAAAAGTTTTCTCGACCTTCCATAAATCGAACTGAGTTCTACTTTTCTGTTATAAAAGTAGTGTGCCACATGCTGTCGAATGCGAAATTGAAACAACTTCTACTTTGGACTTAACATCCATATCATGAGAAGGGAGCTCTATTAGGTCTCTCTGAAAGCTAAATCACCTGTTAAAATAAGCATGGCGGAAATCTGAGAAATAAGTAATCGATGTTTGTCGCTTCTCGTCTGCAGCAGCTGCATTTGAACAAGAATCGTTGGATGTTGTCCTTCAGTAGCATTTTGAATGAAAGTGGTAAAAGCTCAAGTGAGGCCTTACACTACTGTAAAATGATGTTAAAATCTTTTAAAAATCCAAGCTTTCGCCGATGTACAGAATCATCAGGGGTGATGCCGTATCATCACGTCGCCATCATCACGGCATCATCAGGGGTGATGCCCGATGATGCCGTAGATCGGCGAAAGCTTGGATTTTTAAAAGATTTTAACATCATCTTACAGTAGTGTAAGGCCTCACTTGAACTTTTACCACTTTCATTTGAACAAGATTTTCAGATCACTTGCCCACGCTTTTTCCAGCTTACAGAACTTGTTTAGAAAAGAATCAAACATCTCAGACAAAGAGATGATACATACACTTTGAAGGTGGGTTAACAGTTGCATTCAATAAATGATCGGATATTTTACAGTTTTTATCACAGAGTTTCAGTCAGTTAAGGGGCATCATAAAGGAAGTGGCACTACGATCTTGTTCTGTGCACCATATCACATAGGTAGCGCTGTTGCGCATCATGAGATAAAATTACAAGTAATACAGTTTTTGACGGTGCGATCCCAGCAGACAGAAATAGCTAAACGAACTACATCTAAACACTCTCTCACCCTTTAACATTTAAGGGCCTCCACAGACTAGTGTTATCGACAACTGATTGTGTCTACACATTGGAGTGTTAGTCGATAACTAAGTCAGGGCAGCGGATTTGGAACTAACGTTCACTACGCATACTAAAAACTTAATAAGTGTGCTCAAAGGTGTGTTATGTTTCGATAGTTGTCCACATCTAAACCAATGATTTCCACACACAGGGAAAAGCTCGGTCGAAACATAGCTGTCGACAACTAAAACTGTAGCGTCCAGTTGTCGACAATTCGTCTCACACACTACGTTTTTTAGCCGTCGATAGCATTTAGTTGTTGATAACAAACAGTTTTCACAACTAAGCGTCTAGTCTGTGGAGGCCCTCAGAGTCAGTTCACAGATCATTGGAAATAATCTTTCTTAGTTCTCTTCGCTTTGAAAAAAAATACTGATAAAAACAATTATTATGAAAAAACGAGCGAGTCCTCCGTTTTGTCTTTAATGAGAAACAAACGCCCTATTGTGTACTAGTTGATAAAATAGGCTTACCATCAGTAGTGAATCAACGCCTCGCAAAAATAGTCTGCATGGTTTTCAAAGTTACAAATAGTGATCATGCACCAAAGAGCATCAACGAAGTGATCGGACATAGAAACAGTAATTACGACCTAAGAGGACACGACATTTTAAAGCTGCCAAAGGCCAACACTACAACTTACGGTTTAAAATCGTGGAGGTTTACGGTGCCTAAACTATGGAACTTAATACCTGACTCATATAGAACTATTCGATCTAATAAGGTTTTTAAAAATACTATTAAAAACTTAGACTTGTCAGGTCTGACATGATCGTTAAACTTTATACCTTGTATTATTTATTAGTCTTAGCTTAATCTTATTTTATAAAAAGTTATATCTAGTCCTATAATGTAAAAAGATTTTAAATGTTATATTTTAATCTTATATTATCTTAGTTATTTGTTGAAGGTATTATCTCAATTTAGGTCTTTTTACTTTTACTTTCTGTTATACCTGCAAACTAGCTGGTGAGATTGTCTTCACAAAAGCTATGTGTATATACACAATAAACTTCACCTGACTTGACTTGACGAACATGAAAATGGCAAGGTTCATTCGCTTTTTCAGTTCCAAATCAATTAACTTAAGACTTTGATTGACACGTTGCCCACGAGGAGTCAGTGACAATAGTGTTGTAATATATGCACACTAAACACATTTTCCTGATATAGAAAAGTTCCAATTAGTAATTTGGCTTATTAAACTTTGTTTTTCGACAGTAGGAAACGTTATCTATATAGCATTCTACGCGAATAAGGTTCACAGTGTAAGCCTGCGAGGAGTCGGTGTGAATAGCGTTGTTACGTAAGAACACTACACACATTCTCGTGATAAAAAAGTGATAATTTAAAATAACGACTAATTTTAAACTAATT